ATCCTAAAACCAGATGGCTGGTCAGAGGATTCACCTGGGAAGGAGGAGGACCTGGGGATGAAAGGCTCTAATTACTGGTCTCTGAAAAGCTGTAGAGAGTTTTGTGCAATTACATAAATGGTTGAGTTTGGAGCTGAGCAGTGTCTCTGCCAAGATCATGTTGTTTCTTTTAGAACTGTGCTCCCTTAGGACTATATTATGGGAACAGAAGCTGGAGCACACCAATAACTGCAGAAGCAGTAACTATTTTCTTGGAGAACTCTAAAAGGGATGCTGAACAAGCATGGGGCACGGATGGCCAAACCCAATTTTATTTTTGTCTCTTACCACCCCTCCAAATTTTATTCATTGGGAGGGTACTCTCCCTTCTGTGGAGAAAAGCTGCAGCAAGGTTGTGATGTTCTTGATAGTCCTGTGATCAGTTCAGAGAACAAACACAATCTCGATTAATTAATTAATTAGAATGTTTAATCCTGTGTAACAATCTGTACCTGCAGTAGTTTTAAATTTTTTCCCCTCCCAGCTCTGCCTCAGCCAAGTCTAGGAGCCTGCACTGAGAAAGGCAGGAGTGATCTGTATGCTCTTACTTCTCCTCAGCTCCCCTCCACCTAATCACTGCTGACTGCTGGGACCCAAGTGACAGGAGGGGTAAGGGGATAAATCAGTCTGGCTTAACTGGGTAGTTCTGTGCCCTGTGGGCCTGGAATACATTTCCTCTCCCCCATTCCCACTCTCAAATGATAAACTGGCTTTCTGCTTCACTGAAAAATATCAAAGAAACCAGAAATGAACTTCTGGGGCCCTATCAGGAACTCTGGGAGAGGGCTTAGACATCTGCATTATAATGAGGCTTCTGGGTGCTTCTAATGAACTCTGAAGTTTGAGAGCCACTGCCTTTCACAATGGAGCAACCCTTCCCATTCCCATTTACCTCCTACTACTCTTGTCCCTCCTTCAATCTGTTCTAGCACTGTTCCTTAAACAGAGGATATGCTGTCATTGCTTAAGGAAATATACTTTGTTCTCTCTTCAGTCTAGCCTCTCAGCATTAGATGCTGATGCCCAAGTGCAGAATTCAACAAGTGCTTGTTCTGAAGCCGATGATGAAGCAGGGAGGACCCAGATAAGACTCAGAAGAGTTCTGCCTTCATAATCAGGGTGACTGATGGGGGTCACTAGTAGGGCCTGGGCTGAGGGAGAGCTCCAGGGCTGCCTCAGATCTAGACCGATGTTTACTCAGGTGGCCTGAGCCAGAGTAGACAAAGAGAGAATCCGAATTATAAGTAAAGAGGGCAGGCAGACTGCCCTGGCTGTCCTGTTGAGCATAACAAAACAGAAAAATTAATCAAGATCTAGGAATATATCACATTTGGCAAAGAACACAAACATGGAGCTGTCAAAGGTGATGTGTATCCTCCTGTGAGATACACATGCCTTCCTGGGACTTTGCGGCTTGCCTTCCCCTGGGTTAGCCCAGGAAGCTCCTGCCTTCTGGAGCTGCCCCAATAGTCAGGTCTTCCCAGTCAGCCCCAGTGAATCCTGACAGGCTAGACTGGCTGTTGAGGCATTTTACACAGGCTGCCTGGCAGCCAGCTCCACTCACCAGCCTCACATCACCCCTAACATAGAAGTCTCTCTAGTAGGCTGTGTAAACCCTCTGCTCTTTTGAAATTTATGCCATCCTGTCCTTCCCTCCCTTTGTATGCAGATCTTCTGGATCCTCTCCCTCTCAAGAGGTTGGCACCTTTCTGTTGCCAACTTCCTGGAGAACTTAACGTCCATGTAGACAACTCCTTCCCACAATACGTTCATTAACCAATCTCCAGGCAACTGCTCTGATATGCCTCTAAGGCACTCACCTCACTCAGGGACCCTAGACTTTGCCATCACCCAGGGCTGCTCTGCTTCCGAAGTTAGTAATTCAAGCAACTGAAAAATTCCAGTTTCTGACCACTGCTTCACATTGTCCCAGGTCACCTGTTAAAGTATGCCCAGGACAAGAACCTACTCCTATCTTTATTCTTCCACCTGTTCTGCAAGTTCATGGTAGTTAAGCATTGTCATCACTTAACTTGCTAATGGACTAAAACTCCTTTGCTCACTGTGCTTTCATTTCAATTGCCTGAAATGAAGTCTGGATGATCCCTCAGTACTCACCTCTTCCACAGCTATTCTAGATTCCTGAGTAGGGAGAGATACCCATACCAGTGGGATGACTGCCGTTAACTACAAATGTATGAATACTAGTACTATAAATTCAAACAGGCCCTCAACATTACTCAGCAATCCTTACCCCACTGCATTCTGACTTCTCTCTCATCTCAACAGCACTCAACAGCTAACAACCTGCCCATCCTCCCATATTTAATTTAAAAAAAAAAAAAATTGGTTGGGTATGGTGGCTCATACCTATAATCCCAGCACTTTGGGAGGTCAAGGCAGGCAGATCACTTGAGGTCAGGAGTTCGAGACCAGCCTGGCCAACCTGGTGAAACCCCATCTCTACTACAAATACAAAAATTAGCTGGCATGGTGGCATGCGCCTATATTCCCAGCTACTTGGGAGGCTGAGGCAGAACTGCTTGAACCAGGAGGCAGAGGTTGCAGTGACCTGAGAGCACAGCATCGTACTCCAGCTGGGCCACAGAGCAAGACTCTGTCTCAAAAAAAAAAAAAAAAAAAAAAAATTAAATCTCCTGGTTTTACTCCTACATCTCTGGCGGAACCTTCTCCTATTCCATCACCTTTACTGGTTCATTTTCCTTTACCCATCCATGAAATGCTCCTCAGTTCTATTCTGGGCCATTTTCTCTTCTCATTATCTTACCCTGAATATCTCATCTATTGTGACTTTAATTACCCTCTAGGATGCTGATTCCCAGACCCCTAGCATAGATCTCACCCATGTCCCACTTCCTGAAATCCAACACTTTGAATGGCATCACCAGCTTACCCACAGTTGCTCAAGCCAGAAACCTGGGACTTACTTCAGATTCCTCTCTTACCCGCCCTCAGCGTCCCACGAGTTCTACTTCATTAAGTTCTCCTATCTCCCTACTTCTTCCATCATGACTAGTCAACAGTGCCTTCATCTTATGCCCTAGAACCTGGGTTTCTGTAACACCACTGTTCTCATCTATCCCACTCAACTGGACGCTGTCATTCCTTCTCTCTCCCTAGGTGAATATGTACACTGGCTGTATCTCAAATGACAAGCTCTTGGAATACAAAGATGAATATGGCTTCAGAAAACTGCAGCCAAATGCACAAAGCAATCACAATGCAGTATTTAGAAGCTGAAGTAGCACACTTCACATAGTACTTTTTTTTTTTTTTTTTTGAGATGGAGTTTAGCTCTTGTTACCCAGGCTGGAGTGCAATGGCGCGATCTCGGCTCACCGCAACCTCCGCCTCCTGGGTTCAGGCAATTTTCCTGCCTCAGCCTCCTGAGTAGCTGGGATTACAGGCACGTGCCACCATGCCCAGCTAATTTTTGGTATTTTTAGTAGAGATGGGGTTTCACCATGTTGACCAGGATGGTCTCGATCTCTTGACCTCGTGATCCACCTGCCTCGGCCTCCCAAAGTGCTGGGATTACAGGCGTGAGCCACCGCGCCCAGCTCACATAGTACTTTCAGAGTACAGATGAAGAATTACTTTTGCTTTGGGAGTAAAATAGGAAACAACTAGGCTGCTTGGAAAGATGAGCAAACTTCCAGTCAGATGAGCATTCAGCAGAAAGAACAGTACATGTAGCGGCACTGTGCAGTGTCTTCCTAATGGTTCACAGCTCAGCCTCCAAACATGCCCTCTGTCGTACAGCCTGTTTGAACACCTCCATCCCCTTATTAGAGGCATCCAACTGGCTCAGGGCTATGCAGCCTGTGATCTGATAGGTACTGTTAGGTATTCCTGGAAGCAAGTACAAGAGGTTGTATCTTTACACCTGGGCACATGGCAGAAACCTTCTGGAGGAGGCCTAGAATCTATCATTCAAGCTCACCTTCCCTCAGCACCTTGTTATAGCTTTCCCAGGACATGCTGATCTGAGTCCGCTGCAAGGCAGAAACAACAGACAGACTCTTTTGCTAATGAACAGCCCAATCCTCCCAAGCCCACATGGCATCAACAAGTTGTTTATGTATAAAGACCCAGCTCCCTCACTACTCCTCCAAGGACAGACAGCTCAGAATCTATTAAGTCATTAGCCTATGAAGTTAGCCTGCTGAAAGGCCTATCCTGAGCTCTCCCACAGACTTCCTCAGTCAACAAATCCATTCTTTACCTCTCAGCCTCCAACCAGCCTAGGGAAGATCTTCAAAAAACAATAAGGCTTATAACACATAATAGTCATAGCTAGTTTATCGAGCACCTCCTATGTTCCCAGTCCTGGCTATAGAGTTCCCCAGTTAACCCAACCACCTTGCAAGACAGAAATTCTATTTTCCAAATGAGGAATGTGATATTCAGAGATTAAATGACTTTAAGTGGCTAGGTAGCAGGACAGGAATTAAATCCAGGTCTACCTGATTCCAAAATCTGTGCTCTCAGCCATAAACATACCAAAGTCCCATAGGATAATAGGTGTTGGGAGTGGCTTGATGCATATGGTTCCAAAGATGGAGATGAGGGGAGAGGGGAAAGATAAACCACTAGAAATGCTCAGTATAGGACATCCAAACAGTCTCAACCTGGTGGCTCAGACTGATGTGTTGAGCCAGGATGTTGGTGGACTACCAGTGGCCTCAGAGTCAAGCGGCAACAGCTGCCTGTCTGCAACCTTGAAGGCCTAGGCAAACTGAAGCTGAAGGAACTAGAAGCTATGGGTGAGGAGAGGAAGCTGATCTGTAAACAGATCAGACAAGAGCAGAGTGGAGATGGTAGTACAGAAAAGCCATGTGGCTTCTTAGTTGGAAAGAGGAGCCAAACCTAAAGAGGTCTTGAATTCCAAACCATCCAGTTTTCATGACATCTAAAGTGGTCTGTGATTCCCAGATATTCCCATGTTCTCACAATAAATTCTTCGTTGTTTAGCTAGCCCCAGTGACTTTATGCATCTTATAACCCAGAAACCTCTAGTACAGCAAGTCTGAGCCAGAGGTTTTATCACACTTTGTCCTCAGGGGTTCCACCAGGAACCAAGTCTTGGCTCACAGCCAGGCTGGATATAGTCTTCACAGTTCTGAACCTGAAGTTTGAGCTCTGCCTCCCCTTTCGAGGAAGATCCAGAGGTCACCTGCGCTTGTAGAGGCATGGCTGAAGCTTCAGGCCTGAAAGCTGAGCCTTGGGCCCTACCTGAGGGGGCCCAGTCTTTTGGAAATCAAACAAGAAGAAATGGCTGTTGGTCAGGTCCTATGGACAAAAAACACCCAGTAAGAACCAAATCCTCACCCCAACTCCTTCAAACACCTCCCTCTATGTACTAACTGCCTCTGCTTAGAAAGCTTCGCAGAGCTTCCCTTTCTATTGGGGAGCAAAATGTCTGTTCCTGTGCCTAATGCCTCCTTCCTCCTGAAAGGGCCACATGGGACAAAAACAGGTACAGACTTCTTGGGGCCCTCACCTTGGAGACAACCTTGAAGCCTAGCTTGGTCACAGCCCGCAGAAAAGTCCGAACATCCTCAAAGCGGCTGCTGACCTCAGCCACTTTCAGGAGACCCCTGAGAAGGACAGAAAGTTCTGTGTAAATGCACAGACCCATGCAGGCACACACATATATATGCATCTGTGTCCTAAGGAGCAGCTCTTACCCTGGCTTCAGTACTCGATTTGCCTCCTCTAGGAAGTCCCTGATGTTGGTTCCCATCAGTGAAAGGCAAAACACAGCCACATCCACAGACTCATCCTCCAGAGGCACCTGCGGAAAGAGTGTTGTGTAAAGCACACACAGTGTAGAAGGAGAAAGCCAACCCTGAAACACCAGGATGGGAAAGGGGAAGGAAAGGTTAGAGATTAGCATATGGAGGTTGGGCCTGAAGCACAAGCCAGATAACATAGGGGTTTACCTGGGCCATGTCACACACAGTGACCCTAGGGTCCAGAGAGGCCAAGTCAAAGCAATGCACAGGGTTCCGGATACTTGAAGCCAGGCGGCAATCCCCACAACCGAAGTCAGCCACCACTAGGGACGCAGGCCTGAGAGTGGAAGGGAAGGGTCACATATTGGTCTGATCTGAGACTATGACTGACCCACCACATGGCTTCCCACAGTGCCTGACCCCAATTCACCGCTGGCGAAGATCCTTGGCGATGCGGTCCACTGGTTGCAGTGGCCACTTCTTCACTTGGCTCTGGAAGCCGCGGTGGTAGAGAAGAAAGGCCTCAGGATCTTCCTGGAAGAGACGCTGTGCAGCACTGCTGGGCCTGGAGTATAGCTGTTCATTGAGGTAGCGAAATCGGGCCCCATCCAGCCGCTGTGCCATGCGGGCTCGCAAAGCCCCTGCCCGAGCCTCATGGCTCTCTGTCCTGGGTACAGGAGGCACTTCTGTCTTCTCTGTGGGGGCCTCGGCTAGAGCCTGGTCTGGCACCTCAGGTGACCGAAACTTGTTCTTATGTCTTCTCTTGTTCTTTTGCCGGTTCCGCCACTGCTTGCGACTCAACGTATGAGGGGGTTTGGGGGAAGTGGACTCAGGGCTTGGCTTTGGCGGGTCATTTGTAGCACTATTCTTCCAAGCTTTGGGACCTGCAGGGAGGGAGATGGGACGGTGCACAGGAGGCAAGATCTCTTAAATTCAGAGGCATGGCTAGTCATCCCAGTCATACCTCCATCTTTGAGACAGTGACTGTGGCCTGAATAAAAGTACTTCTTATTGCCTCAGTATATCATTGGCCCTAATCCTAATGGCAGTGGATAACCTCTGTTGTATGTAGAATCAGCTGATCCCCCTCCTCCACACACACACACATATATACATACAATGGTACCTCTTTGGTCAACATCATCCAGGTGCTGGGCTGGATTTAAAGGGGCATGTTTCTGGCATTTCCTCTTTCTTTTTTCTTCTTCAGCAGAGTTACTGTCAAGAAGAGCCTGTTTGTGGCATGTCTTCTTCCTTTCCACTTCTTCCTCAGAGTAACTGCAAGGTGGGCCCTGTTTTTGACATTTCTTCTTCCTTTTCTTCCCTACTTCAGCAGAGGCACTGGCAAACGATGCCTTTTTGGGGCAATTCTTCTTCCTTTCCACCTCCTCCTCCTCAGAGTCACTGCTAGGTAAGCTGGGGGGATTCTGGGAAAGAGATGCTGCCTCTAGGGTCCGTAATGTGGCCAAGAGCTGGCGGCACTTCGAGCCCTGGAGGAAAACAAGGGATGACAGTGGGGCTGGAAAGAATGGATGACGGCTGGAAGGGAGAGATGTGGACCTGACTCAGACTGGCAGAAGCATCTGAATTCTTCCCAGTCAAGCCTGCCAGAACCCAGAGGAACTTTCACATCACCACCCCAACCTCTGGGAAGCTGGAAGGCAGAGAAACCACCTATTCCGCATTCTTCAATGTGTAAATGAGCTCATGGAGGTTTTCCCAAAGGAACGTACCAAGGCCACAAGCAACAAGACCAAGGCCAGAGACCAGGAGTTTCAACCCCCTCACCTCAAGCTTTTGCCTCTAGCTGATACATTTCCACAAGAGGTAAGGAGGTTTCTGAACACAGCAGCGATGTGATCACAGATGTATGTTAAATATTTAACATGTCTCTACCTGCAGTATAGAGAACAAACTGAAGGGGAGAAATGAAGACAGAGAGACCAGCGGACTGCATTACGGTAATGGGGCTAGGGGATGAAAAAAGAGGAAACAAAACAGGCTGAGTCCATGATGGAAGCGGACTGAGGGGTAAGAAAAGCCTGAGGAAGCACAGCCCTTACATCTGCAGAGGCTCAAAGGAGAAGGTGTGTTGTCGAGAAGGCTGATTCTGGGTTGCAGTCCTACTGGGTAATCCTAGGCCAGGAACTTAGATTCTAAGTTTCCCACACCCTCCTTCGAACAATGATACTAACAACTCTTACATTCTCCAATCCATCCTCCACACTGTAACCAATGACCCTTTCAAAATACAAATCTGAAAAAAATCATTCCATTGCTTAAAACCTTTCATTGGCTTCTCTCCATTCTCAATATACGCAAAACTTCTAATCTTTCTTTTGAACAGCATCTCCTCTCATTTACTCTGTATTCCAACCACAAGGATCACTTTTTTGTGTGTGACTAACAGAACATGCTCTCTTGTCCCAGGGCCCTTGTACGTACTTTTTCCTGTCTGAAGAACCCTCTTCGCTTCACCCACTTCTACCCAACAACTTTCTCTTTGACCCAACATCAGTTTCTTTTGGAAGTTCTCGGATGTTCCAAGCAGGGCTCGCCCCCAACGGTGCCACAGGCATCCCTCCCCGCAATACACACAACGCTGGGATCCATGAGCGTCCGCTTCGCGGCCTGAAACAGGTCCCACTGCCCCTGAGGGTCACTCACCTTGTTTTGCGAGGCGGCCGCAGGCAGAGGCCGTGAGATTACGGGCCCGAGACTCGCGGCCACTGGGGCCGCCTCGGCCCACTCAGGCTCTTCGAACATCAGGTTCGGGAGAGCAGGGTCGCGGAGTCCCAGCTCTTCTCCACGTGCAAAGCGCCTCTCTAGGAGTCCGAGGGCTCAGACCCGCCAGAACGGAGCCGGAAACCGACGCATGACAGCCAAAGGCGGCTAGAGCGGCAGGCGCGGAGCAGCGAACCATCGAGTTTAACCACTCGCGGCTAGAACGGCAGGGAGGCGGCGGGAGGGGAGGGACGGAGGCCCGCGCAGCTCAAGAGCGCCAGGGGCGGGGCGGGGCTGGCTGCTGGCGGCGGGCGGCGGGCGCGGCCGGACGGGAGTTCCCCAGAGAAGGAGCCTGCTGCCCGAGTCCCGGTAAGTGCGAGAAGGACCCGCGCCCCCTGCCTACGATTGGGGGCCCTGCCAACCTGTCACCCCTCACTTCGCCTGAGTTCCCATTAAGGAACGGAGCCAGCCCTGGGGAGGACCCCCGGCCCCCTCCCACAAAGTATACGTAGCCTGAACCTCCCCACTTCCCCCAAGTGTCCGCGAGTAGGGTCTAGTTGCCTGCTCTCGGACTTCCGTTCAGGAAACACTGCCTCTTCATCACCCCCTGCCCCGCCCTTACCTCGCGCCCAGAGGACACGGTCAGGGATCATCCCGCAGCTCCGAACTCCTTCACAGACCACCAGTAGCCGGGAACGCAGCTCAGGCTCCCAACCCCAATACAAACACTTCTCTTCTGTAGAGGACAAAGCTTGGGGTTCATCCTCCTTCCCTGGACCACCCCACAGTCCCCAGGCTTCCCCAATCCAGGGGACTCGGCGCCGGGACGCTGCTATGGACGACATTTTCACTCAGTGCCGGGAGGGCAACGCAGTCGCCGTTCGCCTGTGGCTGGACAACACGGAGAACGACCTCAACCAGGGGTGAGCTGAAGCGGTTGGTGAATGAGAGAAAGGCTCGAGATCATCTCTTGGCTGCGTGGAGTGGAGTGCTCATGTCTGGTGGGGGCGGCTGACTGCCATCCAGTGTAATGAGTGCTAAGCACAGCCTGTAGGGCACAGAGGGTCTTCACAGAGGACGCAGTGTTTGAGCTGAATCTTGACTGCTGAATAAGTTTCACAGGCAGAGGCTGCAGAGAGCTCTCCAGCCTCAGTAAACTGCATGGGCAAAGGCTAGGAGGCAAGGCACAGAGCAAACAGGAAATTGTGGTTCCATATGGCTGGAAGGTAGATGATCTCTGGGTTTGAGCATTGGGCATAAGAGAAGAACAGGGCATAAGGCTGTAGAGGACTGCAATGATCAGCCAAATCATGCAAGCATGTTTAGGCTCTACGAAGGTCTTTGTTTTAAAAGCAAGGTTTCAAAGCTGTATAGTGACATAATGAGATTGTCCATTTTTCAGTATCATCTTGGATGCTTTGTGAAGAGCAGGTGGAAAGGAGGCAATTGCCTAGTTCATTGCAGAAGTAATGATATCTTGGACTAGAATTAGGGTGAGTGAAAAAGAGAGGTGATTACATTCCGAAAGTCTTTAGTACGAAGAATTGTGGAACTTGGTGTGGGGAGTGAGGAAGGGTAAAGATGAGGACCAGGGTTCTGGCTTGGGCACTTGGATAGATGGTGATTGTTTTTACTGAGATGGAGAAAACTGGAGGATGAGACGTTCTATTTTGGACATGTTAAAGTTACGATGACAATGCAACAAGGTGGAAATGTTGAGTGTGTTGTTGGTTATGCAGATTTGCAATTCAGGAGAGGAATCTGACTTGGAGACACAGAATCAGCATATAGATGATACTTGATGACATGGGTGTGAAGGAGAATGTCTCAGGTGAGTGGAAGGCAAGAGGTCAGGGGACAAGAAACCTACAAGACTGAAAAAGAGCAACGGGAAGTTGAAAAAGAAGTAGGAAAATGTGTGAGTAAAGCTTAGAGAAGAGAACGTTTTAATGAAGGGGAGGTGGTCAACGGCAGTACAGGCTACTGAGAGATCAAAGAACATTAATACTTTAAAGTAGCTATTGAATTTACGATTGGGATTTTTTTAAATACCAGGGGTACATGTGCAGGTTTGTTATACAGGTAAACTTGTGTCATGGAGGATTGTTGTACAGATCATTTAATCACCCAGGTATTAAGCCTAGTACCATTAGTTATTTTTCCTGATCCTCTTCCTCTTCCTATCTTCTCTGCTCTGGTAGGCCCCAATGTCTGTTGTCCCCTTCAGTGTGCGGTTAGGATATATTTGATGATCTGTGAGTGTTGATGCAGAATAATGGGTGAAGAAATCACACTACATTGGATTCCCTCATTTAAGGGACTGCGATGAACACCTTCTGTGCTGGGTGCTAGAGTCCCAGAATCTCACATAATCTCTGCCCTCCAGACAGCAGATTTGTGGCAGGTTGAAAAGTAGGCCGGGCATGGTGGTTCACGCCTGTAATCCCAGCACTTTGAGAGGCTGAGATGGGTGGATCATGAGGTCAGGAGTTTGAGACTAGCCTGAGCAACATGGTAAAACTCAGCCTCTACTAAAAATACAAAAATTAGCTGGATATGGTGGTGTGCACCTATAATCCCAGCTACTCATAGAGGCTGAGGCCAGGAGAATCGCTTGAACCTGAGAGGTGGAGGTTACAGTGAGCCAAGATTGAGCTGCTGCACTCTAGCCTGGGCCACAGAGTGAGATTCTGTCTCAAAAACAAAATGAAAAAGTGAATGGGAGGTGAGCAAATAGTGAAAGTGAATGTAGACCAGTTCTATAAGGTTGGCTGAGATAGGAAGGCAAGAAGATTGATGTACTGATGGTGACTCAGAGTGGCAGATTCTAATTATTTTTTAAGATGGGTAGACTTTAGTTTTTAGGTTTGACGGGTCAGGATCACCTGTCCTCTCAGTCTAGACTTCACTGGTTCCCATTATGTTCTACACTATTTCTCTTTAATACTTTGCAAAGTAATTTGTTACATTTTTCTTATAGTTCTCAAAGGATACTCTTATAAAGACAGTTAAGCACTGTTACTATTTCGTTAGTGAGGACATACAGGCTTAGGCAGTTGCCCAGTAGCATCTAGGAAGACTCTAGCTGAGTCTAGGAAGACTCTAGGAAGATGCTACCAAAAGGAAAAAGGGTGGCATTAATGAAACTGGAAGGTTTTGGTGCTGGTTTGAGAGGATAAGGTATGGGGGCCTAAGCTGGCTATATGCTACGTATGAAAGAGGGGGTTAATGTCCTGCAAATCTCCTTGAGATAAAAGTCTAGGCCCTGGGGTGACAAGCAGCCTGATAGTGAACAGAACCTTTGTGCCCATACTTTTGCCCCCAGAGTTTGGTCTGCCCTGGGGCCACAGGCAGTACTGGAGGCTGGTAAGTTAGGGCACAAATTAAAAGTGTAGAAGGCAAGACCGACTGATAAACGGGGTGTCATTGCTTCCTGGGGATATCCCCATCCAGGAAAAGCTTTTGGCTATTTTTGTGTTAGCAGATGCGAGCAAGTTTTGGAGGAAAATGATTAAGTTAAAGGCCACACCCCCAACCTCTTCAGCTGTAGGGGCCTCTGGATGGCCAGACCCCTGATCAGCTCCAGGCCTTGCCTAGAGTGCCAACACAGGAAGTGACCACAGCACTAAGGCATCTGGAGGCTGCTGGCCCAGACCGGGGACCGCCCCCTGCTCCGCCCCTTGAATCTGCAGCCCCAAACTAGAGGAAATTTCCTTTTATGGCCCCATGCTGTCAGCCAGGCACAGCTCCAAACCAATTGTTTTGTTTTGTTTGTATACGTATTTTACTTTATAAAACACATATCTCTGGGAAAAGAAAAAAAATCAGATATAGTTTTCCTTCTAAAACAGCCGTTCTTATTTTCTTGTTTTCTGTGCATAGGATTGCTAAATAGGGAAATCCTGCTTTGCATGGTGGTTTGTTATCTGCCTCATCAGTAGTCAAAAGCATTTCTCCTTTTCAATATAAACCCTTCCAAAACATCATTTAAATTCCATCCCATTTTTAGATGTTAGTTTCAGTACCAGAGCCAAATAGTAAGCTTGTTCCCTCTCCTGTAAGTTGTGGCCCGCCTTCTCCAAGACACCCCTCTCCCCAACTAACGTGCACTGAACAGCTGCTGTCAATCCATTCCCTCAAGAAACTTAAAGTCTAACAGACCAGACAGTATATTACAGATTTTTACAATCCAGTGTGACAAGTGCTAAAGTAGGAGGATATATGACACAGTGGAAAACAGAAAGGACCAACAGATGTTGTGGAAGGGATGCAGGAGAAAAAAGGGGAAGAGTGCTACCACTTCATGAAATAAGAAGTGGGATATGGCAAAGATAACATTTTTTATATAGGTTGTTGAGGTATCTAGCTAGTTGGTTTGGTTTGAAGCTTAGGGGAAGGTCTGAAATGGACAGCTTTGGGAGTTACTGGCATGAATGAGAATCAAAGTCCTAGATAGGTAAGCCTTCCCAGAGAGTATGTAATTATCAGTTTTTCAGGAATCAAAACCTTTGCCCCATCCCACCTCCAGCTCAATGACCATTGCCCCTTCCTCAAAGGGACGATCATGGCTTCTCCCCCTTGCACTGGGCCTGCCGAGAGGGCCGCTCTGCTGTGGTTGAGATGCTGATCATGCGGGGGGCACGGATCAATGTAATGAACCGTGGGGATGACACCCCCCTGCATCTGGCAGCCAGTCATGGACACCGTGATATTGTACAGAAGGTATGTACAAACCCCTTTGTTACCCACATCACATACATGCCATGAGGGTTAGTCACAGGCACGGTTAATACAGTAGAAAGTACATGTACTCTTCCCCTTTTTCCTATGCCCTAACCCAGTATCTCATTTGGGACTGACTGCACCTTCTGCCTCTTCTTTTTGTCTGGCCATGGGGTTCAGCTATTGCAGTACAAGGCAGACATCAATGCAGTCAATGAACATGGGAACGTGCCCCTGCACTATGCCTGTTTTTGGGGCCAAGACCAAGTGGCAGAGGTGAGTACTCAGGCCTGAAGTCCTGAGATGGGTGGGAAGTAAATCTGAGCCTGGGTTGGAGAGTTTGGAACCCTCAACCCTTTCTGTCAGTAATAGTGTGTGACACCCACAGGATTGAGTACTACATTTCTGTGTTCATGGTTGGTTCAGTGACTGCCAGAAAAGTAGCAATGGCCCTCATTATAATGGCTTTTTCATTCCAGGACCTGGTGGCAAATGGGGCCCTTGTCAGCATCTGTAACAAGTATGGAGAGATGCCTGTGGACAAAGCCAAGGCACCCCTGAGAGAGCTTCTCCGAGGTCCATCTCCCCACCCGCTAACTTGTGCTCTCTTGTCCCTTCCCACCTGTCTTCTTCCTCTGTACCACAGCTCAGGTTGTTTTTCTTCCCTAGAGCGGGCAGAGAAGATGGGCCAGAATCTCAACCGTATTCCATACAAGGATACGTTCTGGAAGGGGACCACCCGCACTCGGCCCCGTGAGTCATTACCGTTGGAAGAAGGGTTGTACAAGTAAATAATACTGGGTTAGGGTGAAGCTGGGAACCTGACCTGCCCACTCTCTTAGGAAATGGAACCCTGAACAAACACTCTGGCATTGACTTCAAACAGCTGAACTTCCTGACGAAGCTCAACGAGAATCACTCTGGAGAGGTGACCCCTGCCCTTCTTGCCCTTCCCTCACTAAACCCCCATAAAGTACCTGCTCTGTACCTGTTTTAAGTTTTTCCTCCAGTTAGTGGGCAAGGAAGGGGTAGCCACAGTTCAAGCCTCCTAACCTCTACCTGTTCTTCAGCTATGGAAGGGCCGCTGGCAGGGCAATGACATTGTCGTGAAGGTGCTGAAGGTTCGAGACTGGAGTACAAGGAAAAGCAGGGACTTCAATGAAGAATGTCCCCGGCTCAGGTAGTACAAGGCATAATCTAGAAGCTGCTAGTTCCAAGGAACCCTGAATAGCACTGAGAGATCTTTTATACTGGGTCTCAACCACTCCCCCCAATTCCAGGATTTTCTCGCATCCAAATGTGCTCCCAGTGCTAGGTGCCTGCCAGTCTCCACCTGCTCCTCATCCGACCCTCATCACACACTGGATGCCATATGGATCCCTCTACAATGTACTACATGAAGGCACCAGTGAGTAGGGATGCTGAATCTCCTTGGGGAGGAAATGGGAGAGAGGGTGCATGAGCCTCTCTGAACTGACTCTTCCCTCTTCGCAGATTTTGTTGTGGACCAGAGCCAGGCTGTGAAGTTTGCTTTGGACATGGCAAGGGGCATGGCCTTCCTACACACACTAGAACCCCTCATTCCACGACATGCACTGAATAGCCGTAGTGTAATGGTGAGGCCATAAGCTCACCCCTGCCCCAGGCCCCAAAGCCCTTTTCCCTGTGTAGGACTTACCTCCTTCTACATTATCCATTTTCTCTTCCTCAGATTGATGAGGACATGACTGCCCGAATTAGTATGGCTGATGTCAAGTTCTCTTTCCAATGTCCTGGTCGCATGTATGCACCTGCCTGGGTAGCCCCTGAAGGTGGGTGAGGGTATCACGTTGGGAGGTAAAAAAGGACCACCTCAGTAGTAGTGGAAGGGGACAGACACAGGACAGGCCAGGGGGCTGGAACAGACAAGCTCTATCCCTCCAGCTCTGCAGAAGAAGCCTGAAGACACAAACAGACGCTCAGCAGACATGTGGAGTTTTGCAGTGCTTCTGTGGGAACTGGTGACACGGGAGGTACCCTTTGCTGATCTCTCCAATATGGAGATTGGAATGAAGGTGAGCAGAATAGCATACATTTGTGTCGGGGGAGCGGTTGTGATGGTGGAAATAACTGTAGTGAGCCTGGGCTCCTCCTGTATTTGTTCGGATATACAGTAATCCTGTCCCAAGAGCCAGTGGCTTCTCTCTACATGAGACTCAAATTCTAAGGCTCAGTTTTTTTTTTTTGTATTTGCAGGTGGCATTGGAAGGCCTTCGGCCTACCATCCCACCAGGTATTTCCCCTCATGTGTGTAAGCTCATGAAGATCTGCATGAATGAAGACCCTGCAAAGCGACCCAAATTTGATATGATTGTGCCTATCCTGGAGAAGATGCAAGACAAGTAGGACTGGAAAGTCCTTGCCTAAACTCCAAAGGTGTGAGGACATGGTTGGGGGAGTGCACCTCCCCGAAGCAGGCCTCTGGCTGCCTCCCCTGCCTCCAGTCATGGTACTACCCCAGCCATGGGGTCCATCCCCTTCCCGCATCCCTACCACTGTGGCCCCAAAAGGGGCGGGCTCAGAGCTTTGTCACTTGCCACATGGTGTCTCCCAACATGGGAGGGATCAGCCCCGCCTGTCACAATAAAGTTTATTATGAAAACAGGCTAGTGTGGGGACATGGGGACAGACAAGTACATTTAGGTTGGGTGGCTCAGGTGAAGTAGTGCGGCTTCTTCACATTGATGCCATACTCGCTGAGGGCAGGGGTCAAGTCCTCCATGGTTAGAGTGTACTTGCGGTCCTGAGGAAAGAGCGAAGAGTACCAACTGAACACAGGACTCCTAGACTTCAATCCCAGATGGGTGACCCTGAGTAAGTCTTATACCTCCCCTAGGATTCAGTTTCCCCAAGCAGGTGGCAGGATAAGCCTAGACTGTTGTGGAAGGTAATTACTGATTCATTGAGCCTCCCCTCACACCTTGCTTTTGCTCCGGGAGCTGCCGGAGGCTGTGCCCTTCATTTTGCAGTGCTGTAGGGCATCATTGGCAATATCTGAGATGAATTTCTGGGCAGCTAGGGAGATGAGCCGAATTCTAGAGAGAAAAAACTGAGATGAGAAGGAGATGAACACCACACTGCACAAGCACCCAAAACTAACCTGCCCTGGGTTTACTCACATGCGTGGGTCTGAGGCCTCAAAACCAGCACGGTTCAGGTAGTAACCAGTCACTGCATCTGGGATCTGAGAAATCAATTAAGAGAACTGTCAGCAGAGCGGGAGGAGGATGAGGGAAATGTCGGATGGGCCTGGTTATCAGGAAGCTCAGTTTGTGGGGCAGAGGGCAAAAAAATCAGAAGAGCGACTAGGGAAGCAAACAGAGGACGCTGGAAAGCACGGAGATGTAGCTGAAAGTTGTGACGGCTGGCTAAGTAGCCTTGTTCGGGCGGGAAGCCCACCGTAGGCGTGTAATCCTCCAGCTGCATCAAGAAGTCCACCAGAGGCGTGCTGGATACCACGGGCTTCACGTCTCCGTTGGCCGCGCTCGGCAGTACGTAAACCCCGTTAGACATGGCCCCCTCTGGGGGCGCCGCGCCACCCGACGACACCGGAGCTGGAGGAGAACCAGCAAAATGAGACACAAGTGGGAGGCGCAGGGCCGCAGCGAGGTCAGCCTAGACCTTCTGCCCTCAACCGCCGCTGGGCCCAGTCCAAGGTGCTGCCCTTGCCCTCACCCGTCCTGGTCCTCACCTGCCCCGCGCCGCTCAGCTGGTTCCCCGGCCCGCGCCGCCAAGGGTCCCGTGCCCCCAGCAGCTGCTCCAGCCCCAGGCCCCCCTGTTGTCCCCACGGGGCTGGCCTTGTTCTCCGCGGCGGTGCTAGCTGGCAGCGCGGCGGGAGCCGAGACCGGGGGCGCCGGGCCCGGGGCCGAGGCGGCAGAGGCCGGCGCCGCCTCGGGGTCCGCGCCGGAGCCGCTGCAGCTCATCGGGCCGGTGGGAGAGGCGGCGAACAGAGCCGCTTCCGCTTCCGCTCGCGCTGCGCACACCCCGGGGTGACGTCACGCGCCCACGACTCGCCCCGCCTGTCACTGTGAGCGCTCTCCGGCCCCCTCCCCCGCCTCCTCCCGCAGCGGGTCTGCGGGTTAGAGGAAACAGGCTGAAGGGCGGAGACCCAGCCTTGGCCGGCTGCGCTGGCCGTCGCCATCCCGCCCTAGCCTGTGCCGTACTCCGCGGCGATTCCGTCGAGACTGGAACCAGCGTACGTCTGGGACTTCTCTGACTCCTCTGTCAGCTCATTCTGCCTGACGCTCAAGACCTTGCTTCGAGCTTTATGGCCCTACATCCCTCGACTACGGATTGCCTGCCTGTCTGCATCCTTTCAAGTTCCCTTATTCAGCCTTTTAAGGGTTCGTAGTGGATTTGGAAAGTCCCCCCTTCTCCACCAACTGCCCCGAGAGGTGGGGGCAGCAGTGGGCCGGCACGCAGTGCTGCTGTAGGAGGAGGAGGGGTTTCAGCCTGAGTCAACAGCATACCCAAAAATCACAGCGAGTGAAAGACGTGGGGTTTTCAATGCAGCAGACGTTTAATTCTTATTTGCCAACTCCTGAGCCAGGGCCTGGGGATACAGTTAAATAGGACGTGATTCTAGTCCTCTAGGCACCAGCGGTCTTGAAGCCAAACAAGTAAACTGGCCATTTCAATACTATGCGGGCGTTACAATGCTAGAGGTAGGCACGGGGTGCAGTGCAAGGGAGGAAGGGCGTTAACATCTGCCTCCTACTCCCAGGTCCCAAGCACTCTTATCAACGTTATTTCACTTTATTCCCTGGTTGTTATGAAAGGCAGGTATTGATATTCCCACTTAACAGACAAGGAAACAGTCTCAGGATGATAAACTTACTTGACCCAGTCGGTCTCCTAGTCCATTTCAGAACCAAGATTCAAACAGATTTTGTTTAGAAAATCTAGGGTTTTTTTTTTTTTTTTCCCCCATACCAAAATAAAGTAGCCTCAGGGAATCAAAACATTCACGACGGAAGGTGACTTCCGAGCTGAGTCTTGCAAGAATCCTGGAAATTAACCAGGCAGTTGTATTAAGGGTGGTGTTAAGGGGACGGAGCAGCTTGAGCAAGAGTGAAAGTTCTAGGAGTTTGGGGAGGGAGGAGGAAAAATGATTTGTCACTTAGGAACAAATAGCAAAGAAGGTTTGTGAGCTATGATTGAAAAAAAAAAAAAAAAAAGCCTGAACTCTATCCAGTAATCCTCGAAGGGTTTTCATCAAGTGGCCTGATGGGATTTGCATTTTACTCTGGAAGATGGTTTGGGGATTGGCAGGAAGTAAGGACACTGGTTTTGTTTTTTGTTTTTGTTTTTTTGTTTTCCCAGGAGAACATGGCCCTAAACTAATGTAGTAGTAGTGAGGATAGAAATGGATAAGTTCTAGATATATTTGGGAAATGTAATTGGAAGGACTTGTGGACTAATAAAGATATATTTAAGAGGTACAGTCAGTAGGACTTGTTGATTGAAGGTGGGGTAGAAAGATGACACGGATTTCTGGCTTGGTTGGAAGCATAGCATCATTTGCCAAGAAGAAACAAGAGATGGAATTGTTTGGGGTTGGGAAGGTGGAAGATGAAATGTCGAGTATCACACATCTTACATTTGAGGTATCAATCACTTTTGGATAGAAAGTCTTATTTAGTGAGATGATAATGGTTGTAGATGTCAGTGATTTGTTCTAGGGGACAATGAGTAAATTGAGAAAAGCAAAAGCCTACGAATGGAGCAATGAAGATCAGCATTCCATGAAGAGGCAGAAGTTGATGAAGGAGAAAGATAACAGTGGTCAGAGAAGTTAAGCCCTGAAAGCTAAGTAAGGACAGGGAGTGGGCAACTATGATGGAAAGGCCATAAAGCAAAGATTGAGAAGTATGCACTGCAGGCCATTGTTTCTGGATGTCAGGATAGGAAAGAGCAAAAGGTGAGAGTAGAGGTCTCCTTGCAATGAATTGAGGAGTGATTATGAAGTGAAATAGTGCACAGAGTTTGTACACAACGCTTTGGAAAAGCCTGATTGAAAAGAGGAAGATGAGCTGCGGGGGAAGAGGCATTCAAAAAAATGGCAATTACAGCATCTTATTGAGGAATCTAAGGCAGGAGTAGGGAGACCTGAGTGTGATGGAGCATGGTAGGGTTGACAGTGAAGTCAAGCTCACAGCATTTCAGGGTTAGGGAGATAAGCTGTCTGCATCAGTGTGCAGCTGAGGGTTCAGCAGGGCTTCCAACAGGGCAAAATAAGGTACTGAACTGCCAGCTTCAGGGCAGGGGACAAGCTGAAAGGGTCAGGGGTTGAGTAGAGTCTTCAGCAAAGCTGGGAAGTTGGGTGTTCCCCAGCCTGTCACAGGATCCCAGCCAGGGCCGGAGCAGAAACCCTGGCCCTCCACCTCTTCATTCAGACAGGACTCATGGCAGCCATGGGTTACCTAGGGAGGAGGCTGGCATCAGATCTGGGCCTGCTAGTACCAGTACTTAAAGAGTATACCTTCTTACCCTATATTCACATTTCAGAGGCTATTCCACACCACCCCAACTGCCCCCCAAGTACCCTTTAGCACTCCCCATAGTTGCATGAAAATGTCCACACCCTTCCCTTCCATACTCACGTCAAAGAGTCCTGCCCCATGCTGCTGGTAGAGCCTTGGATTGAGAAAGCCAAGAGGGGGGCGGCCACTGAGGATTCTGTGCTCATTGATCAAGGATAGGAGCCCCCCAAACACTGGAGTAGAGGCCTGCAAGAGTGAAGGTACAAGTAGAAGTCAGGGGTTCTGAGTGACTGGACTTTTTGGGAGTGATGCTTTAGAGTATCAGACATCTCTAAGTAGTTGGGTTCTGGATACAAGGTGCTCAAGGTGTTAGAGAACTTCCTGAGTGACAGTTTGGAGATGGGTTGATTCTCACCGAGGTTCCAGACACCCATGGAATGGGCACACTGTTGCTGACCACCCAGTAGCCATCGGAAAGTGCAGCCACATCTGGGTAGGCACGGCCACTGGCATTGAAGTAACTGGATGGTGGCAGATGGGGGCCAGAGTTCAGGAACTTGGCTACAGCTTCCTCCTGAAAGGCATTTTTGAGTGAGTATTGGCCTGTGGCCTGCCCAGCAGTCAGCTGAACTGAGGATCCCCCATCCCCACGCTCACCCTGTATCCATCCACACAAACACATGTACCTGGTATGAAGGCCGTGGGAACACATTGCTGAAGCCACCACCACTGATATAGTCAACAATCTCACTTGTGATGCGGAAAGGATTCTGGAAGCTTGTGCCTCCCACTGTGGTGACATAGGGGCTGAGAGCAGAAGACAGCATTCAGATAGTAGGGGATGCAAGTGGACCTCCAAGATATGTGGGGAGGGGTGAGTATGGCCCAGGTCTTGCTGGAGAAATTAGACTGTGGGGAAGCATGTATATGGGATTGACTAAGACTTTTGAGCCTTCAAGGCATGGCCTGAGGTGACTGTGCAAACTTTTCTGTGTAGAACATCCACCAAATCTTCCACTAAAATGCCTGGGCACTGAGGAAAAGAAACAGTGGGAGCTGTTTCTCCCCACATAAGAGATTTGGGGACTGGGGCCTACAGGAAGAGATGGGCGTGCAGCAGCCA